ACACACACACACACACACACACACACACACACACACACACACACACAGCAGAGGATTGCTTTGTGTGGCCTCAGTGGGAGAGGATGTGCCTAATCCTGTAGAGACTGGATGCCCCAGGGAAGGCAGATGTCAGGGATGGGATGAGTGGGAAGAACTCTGGGAGGAGGGGAGGGGGCAACATTTGGGATATAAATAAATAAAATAATTTTTTTAAAAAAAACCTTAAACCTGATCCACAAGCAGAGTGAGACTGGGTCTAGCATGGTCTTTTGAAACCTCAGCGCCCACACTCAGTGACACACTTCCTCCAAAAAGGTCACACCCCCCTAAGCCTTCTAATCCTACCAAACAGTTCCACTCCCTGGTGACTAAACATGCAAATATATGAACCTCCAGGGGCCATTCTTGTTCAAACCACCATAGGTAGGAAGGCTCTTTTTATTCTAAAGCAGGATTCTTTCCCCTGCCTTACCTAATATTGATGATTGGAATTCCTTCAAATAGTGTCTCAAATCTTCAGCACAACATTCTTTTTTGTTGTTGTTGTTTTGTTTTTGGTTTTGGTTTTTGCTTTGTTTTGTTTTGTTTTTTTGAGACAGGGATTCTCTGTATAGCCCGGGCTGTCCTGGAATTCACTCTGTAGACCAGGCTGGCCTTGAACTCAGAAATCCACCTGCCTCTGCCTCCCAAGTGCTGGGATTAAAGGCGTGCACCACTACCACCCAGCACAACATTCTTTTTAATTCATACATCTTTAGAAGTATCATTGAACTGAATCATATTAAATTACATTCCTTCCTACGAACCACTCTTTATAAAGGATGGTGAGGAGAACCATGAGGTCACTTCACTTGTCCAGGGTTTACTTGTTGACTCCTTAAATTAAGCGAGATTCTCTTCTTCACTGAAATGCCCTTAAGGAATGGATTCAATAGATCCTTATCAATTGTGAAATGAGAGACCACAGTTTTTGTTGTTGTTTGACAGATTCTCAATATATAGCCCCAAATACGTTGAACTCTAATAAAAGCCTGAACTTTCAATCATCCGGCCTCAGCTTCTTGAATGCTGCAATACCAAGCCAGGGAAACATCATTCTCAAACAGAGAAGCTCTTAGTGACTGACTAAGAAACCCAGATAGTATCTAAAGTTAGCCCTCTTAGAATTTCCAATTTGCAGATTACGCAGAGTAAAACTGTAGTCATGGGCTGGACACATAGTTCACCAGTTAAGAGCACTTGTTGCTCTTGCAGAGAACCCAGATTTGGTTCTGAGCACCCACATAATGACTCACAACCTTGAATCCAGGAGATCTGGTGCTCTCTTTCAGCCTCTGAAGGCACCAGACATACACATGGTGCACATTTTGGGTTCAAAACACTCATGCACCTAAAATAAAAATAAACACACAAACACACAAAATAGTTGCAAAGACCTTTCACTGAACAAGTAAATGAATTAAAGCATTTCCTTCTCTATTTCTGATAAATCCACATCATCTAAGATTTTTAGCTGCATTTTTTTCCTTCTGATTTAGAGAAATTTTAGTGCAATACTTAGAACATGATTGACATTCTCTATGTGTTGGTCAGACTTATAGGGTTTTAGGAACGGAAGGAACTCCTAAGGAGTTAATGATGAAATAAAACTGCCAATTAATCAAAGCCTGGGTGTTTGGTAGTTTGGTATCTATCGATATTATAAACATCATGACCAAAATCATTTTGGGGAGAAGGGGATTTATTTGGCTTACATATCCAAATCAGTCTGTGACTGAGGGAAATCAGGGCAGAATTCAAGCAGGAGGAGGAACCTCTGAGAAAAGATCCTTACTGGCTTGCTCTTCACTGCTTGCTCAGCCTGATTTCTTATACAACTCAGAACCACCAAACCAGGGTTGACCCTCCTACACCAATCATTAATTAAGAAAATGTCCCCACAGACAAACTAGCAGACCAATCTAATGGAGGCAATTCCTTGATTGACATTTCTTTTTCCCAGGTGACTCTAGTCTGTGTCAGTTTGACAGAAGCTAACCAGCATATTGGGTTCCTAAAGATTTGTGTCTTTGATTTCTTTTCTCTCTGCAGCAAGTGAGAGGGAACTTCATTAGGCTGCAGGCCTGCATCTCAGAGCTTCGCATGTTAGAGATAGAAGGTTGTCACAGACCACATCACACCTCACTACCACTGGCAGTAGAGGATGGGCTCCAGCAGTTCAAACAGTATAGCAATCATTTGGCCACAAATGCTGCTCAGCCCTGTACTTCCCTGGAGGTAAGAGACACTGCGTTTTACGACATGAAGCCATTTTCCCATTCCCACCTATGCAATGTTATTATCCTTATTGTTCTGTTTTATATACATTGAATATCATTTTCAAGATGAGATGTTCAGCTACTGTAGCGGTATATTTCCCCTGATATATTAAACTATTTTGGGAGAATTTTGGGAGGAGCTAATGTGGGAGGAGAAGGAAGAGAAGGAGCTAAGAGAAAGGAGGAAGAGAGAGAGGGGAAAATGGCAGCAGATATACACTTGTCTCCAGCAGTCTAAGGTAGTTGTAATATCTAGGTTAGGTATTGGGTAACACTGCTAATTGTGTGAGCATCTTGTTAATTGAGCATTACCAAACATATAAAGCCTTGGGATAATCTTTAAACATTAGAGTCTCATTTCTACCGGGTACCACATGGATGGCGGGATGGTCTGGGCTCAGCCCAGCCTTGTGAAGACAGCATGGAAGATTGGTGGAGCATCTCCCACACTGGCATCTTGTGGGTGCCAGGGCCATTGTTTCTGGCTGGCCATTTCTAGCTGTGGTGAGTCCGTGGCCTCTGGCCGCTTCCAGCTGTGGAGCGCTTGGCTTCAGGCCGTGGAGCATGGCAGCCTGAGCTAGGCAGAGCCACCGCCTAGATGGTCGGCCCAAGCAGCCCCATTTATTAAATATTAATTGTTACAAGCTACCTGCTACTACAGTAAACTACATTATTTCCCTGTCCCATGACCCTTTTGTTTGGTTTGGTTTGGTTTGGGTTGGGTTGGGTTGGGTTGGGTTTTTGTTGGGTTGGGTTTTTGTTTTGTTTTGTTTTGTTTTGTTTTGTTTTGTTTTGTTTTGTTTTTCGAGACAGGGTTTCTCTGTGTAGTCCTGGCTGTCCTGGAACTCACTCTGTAGTCCAAGCTGGCCTCAAACTCAGAAATCCGCCTGTCTCTGCCTCCCAAGTGCTGGGATTAAAGGCGTGCACCACCACTGCCCGGCGACCCTTTTTTCTCCTCAATACTTTGTCTTTTTTTTTTCTTGGTGTGTGCATGCGTGCATGCAAGTATGTGTGTCTCAGATACCCTGGACCTGGAGTTACATGCAGTTGTAAGTTTCACAATCAAGAGCTGAGAACTGAATTTCAATCCTCTGAAAGAACACCAAATGTATTTGTTTTTTTTTTAATTTTTACTTTGTTTTCAACTATATGTGTGTGACTGGTTGTGAGTATGTGTGTGCAGGTGCCTGCAGAGACTAGAGGCACTGGATCCCCTGGAGCTGGGGTTATAGGCAATAATGGACTGCCCGCTATGGGTTCTGGGAACTAAACTCAGGTCCGCAGGAAAAGCAGTACATGCTCAGAATCACAGAGCCATCTCTCCTGTTCCAACAAGTGCTCTTAACTACTGCCACCATGTCCTCAGTGTCGCCTACTCAGCTCTTAAAATGCAGGAGGGCATCAAAAGAAACTGGAAAACAGGGACCAAAGTGAACTATAAGGAAAAACTGAAATAAAAATGAAATGTGAATACAGCTGCCCAAGATATTTGGAATTTGCAAGGTGAATGTTCAATTTCCTAAATTGGCTCTGTTTTACATCTGTCTGGGTACCCTTAAAGCCAGTCAGGGAGGTTCACACCTGTAGTCTCAGCACATAGGAGGGTGAGGCAGGACTAAACCAGCCCAGCTACTTAGTTAGTTCCAGGCCAGGCTAGATTACAGAGTCAAATCTTAGCTCAAAAAAAAAAAAAAGCTCAAAATAAAGAAAAAAAATTGAAATTTTCCTCAATCAAATTTTTACTCAAATTTATTAAATTTTCTTTGGGATTAGCGAATGTCAAAGTTGATATTCCGGTGCCAGGCTGAGACAAAATATAAACAATATATAAATAAAATATAAATAAGTTATGGGTGGATACTCCACAGGTACATGCCTGAGTATGAGTTAAAATAATCTCAGCAGTCTCACAGCACAGGCCCACAGTAGCACAGCCGCTCTGAGGTCAGTGTAGACCTCGGCTAGTTTCCCACTCACCCATTGATGGACACTTAGGTAGCTTCCACCTTTTGGCTATTGTGAATAATGCTGCTATGATCATGAGTGTGCACATGCCTCTTTGAGACCCTGCTTTCAGTCTTTCTAGTAGATATGGAGGAGCATGGAGTGACCCAAACTGAACACATGGCTACCACAGAAGCCCATGCAGTGGCCCAGCAAGTGTAGCAGGTCCATGTAGCCACTTACACTGAGCACTGTATGCTAAGTGCTGATGAAGACTCCCCTTCCTCCCCTGAGGATACTTCTTTTGGTAACTCGGACATATTCAACTCCACAGCAGCTAATGAGGTAACTGCCCATCTGGCTGCTGCAGGTCCTGTGGGAATGGCTGCTGCTGCTGCTGCTGTGGCAACAGGGAAGAATCGGAAATGGCCTCATGTGTTTGAATCTAATCTATTCAAAAGAGACAGCAGACACGTTTGCTTCGGAACCTCAGAGCCACGTTAGATGAGTACACGACACAAATGGGACTGCAAGTGATTGTTCTCTGCATCTCGCCCTCCAAACCCAACCCCGTCTTTAAGGTGTTTGGCGAAGCACCTTTGAAGAACATGGTGCAAAAGTACAAGAGCATGATCCTGGAAGACCTGGAGTCTGCTCTGGCAGAACACACCCCTGCGCCACAGGAGGTTAATTCAGAACTGCCACCTCTCACCGTTGATGGGATTCCAGTCTGTGGACAAAATGACCCAGGCTCAGCTTTGGGCATTTATCCCAGAGATGCTCAAGTATTCCACAGGTCGGGGAAAACCAGGCTGGGGGAAAGAAAGCTGCAAGCCTATCTGGTGGCCAGAAGACATCCCATGGGCCAGTGTCCACAGTGACATCTGCACAGAAGGGCAAAAACAAAAGGTTTCATGGACCCAGGTATTACACATAGTTAAAAATTGTTATAAGCGGGCTGGAGAGATGGCTCAGTGGTTAAGAGCATTGACTGCTCTTCCAGAAGTCCTGACATGGTGGCTCACA